GAGAGAGAGAGAGAGAGAGAGAGAGAGAGAGAGAGAGAGAGAGAGAGAGAGAGAGAGAGCGCTGTGCCTGCCACATCGGGTCAGTGGTTGTCTGCCTGCTGCCATCCGTGAAAGACTGCTATTTCAGAAAAATAGTGGTTTCAGCTGGGCATTCATGTGCCCACTATGTACCTGGGCATTTGCTTTTGCATCTTGTTTTTCGTTGGAAAACAACAATGCTTTTGCTCATGACAACCTGTCATGAATGTGGTCATACCTACTTTTGCTTTTGCATGCGAAGCTCCAGCGGGTGGTCTAGTAATAGGGTTGTTCTCCTCTTTAAACAGGCTTCGTGCTTTTGCATAAGGTCGCCGCTTTTGAATGAACGGTTCTCTTTTTGCCTTGATTTGTGAACCATTGGCTGTCTTGCAACTTCGACTGCGCAAGCCCAGGCAGAAATCCAGGCGAACCAGGTTGCTTTGCGTCAGTACACAGCACACTTGGAAGAGTTTTTCAAGGCAAGAGCCAAGTTGCATGCAAATGCTTCTACTGCTGAAGAGGCGAAGGGAACAGTGACAACAAATGGTGCTTCTGGCTCACCGTATGGAACATCTCAAGGGCTTGCATTTCGTAGCCAGCATGGACTTGATTGTCAGCCTTCCCGTCCTAATGCAGCATCGGATCAGCAAGAGGGAGGGCAAGGTGCCAGTGGAGAAGGGCCTGCTCAGCCCCCGTTGTCATCACTCAATGGCAGGTCAGGGCAAGTGGATGGAACTGCTGCAGGAGGAGGCACGACGATGGGTGGAGGCACGGGGGTTGGGAATGACAACTCTCAAGACCAAAGGGCTCCTGTCGTAATTTCGGCAATGGTGGGGGGAAAGACTGCAGTGCGACCTGTGAAACTGCCTGCTGTTGAGAATGTGCCACCGTATATGACATGGATTTACCTTGACAGGTAGGAGGAATGTTGTCTCGTGTTCCTCTTGGCTCGGCGATGTTAGTGTCATACTGATCACAGCTTGCATTAAGGTGTAAAGAAAACAAGGTGGAAAGGGAGGGGGAGGTGGGGTGGTGAGGGGAGAAACAAGCAATGAACTGGAGCAGGAATGTGTCTGAAGCTGCTGATCTGATCAAATAAGTATTTTGAATCTGTGCTCCAGCTTGCGATGGAGCGTACTCTCTGTGTGTGTGTGTGTGTGTGTGTGTGTGCACGTGTGGTGTGGGTGTGGGTGTGGGTGTGGGTGTGTGTGCGCGCGCGAGCATATGTGCAGCTTGCTATGGAACCTCACAACTGTTGTCAGAAATCTGGACGTAATTGCTGTCAGATACATCCAGGTTGTCAGAAATCTGGACGTAATTGCTGTCAGATACACCCAGGTTTGGACTTGATTGCACTCATATACATCCAGTTCTGACCATAATTGCGGTCAAATGCGTCTAGTCAAGTTCTAGTGTGTGTGCTGTCGCTCAGTGATTGATGAGTGCAATGGTTTGATGCGGTTTCTGTCTGTTGTTGACTTTTCTTTTGTGGGTTTTATAAAGAACTGGTCCTATTTTGTGGGAAGTAGCAGTCCTGTTCCTTCTCCACAAGCAAGTCAGTAAGATAACATCCATAGCTGTCACAGGCTTCCCCTCTTTACGGCCAGAGGAACCTCCCTTCCCAAGAAACAACTGAAAGCAGTTTGAAGTTTGAACTGTTCCTCTCAGCCTGCCAAGGGGCTGGCGGATTAAAAAACGTGCAATCCATGTGCAGATCTCTCTGTACTCCTTTTTTGGATAAAGTATCCAAGGGCCCTCCTAATATTTATTGCCTCCCCCGCAAAGCATACTGAAAACCAGCTCCATTCTGTTCGTTCCAGTCCAGGCCAGTACTTTGTTACTTGACGGACTCCTGTCAAGGTACGACCTGTTCTGCTGCCTCATCGCTTATTCCGTATAAAGCTATGATCTTCCCATGCTGATGTCCATCTCTTCATCATTGATATGAACAGTGCCACTTAAACCACCTGTATGTCCGAGCCTCTTTTACCCGATGTAGGTTTTTGATGTGCAGTGTGCACCAATTCCAAACGAAGCAGTGGAGCTAACAATTTGCCTGGCGAAAGCAGCAGGCCGAGGCCGGAAGGATGTGGTGTGGTAATTACCACCCCAGAACGAAATGGCTGAGAAACGTACAGTGAGCGCAAACACCAAATGAAGTTATGAACCGGCCCGGTGAACAATTTGCCTGACGTCACCCGTCTGTATTTTTGGGTCCAGTAGGCCGATCCCCAAAGGATGTGGCGTGTGAACTACCACATCAGAGCAAAATAGCTGAGAAGCATACTGGTGGTTTAAGGTTTCATTGTTAGGTAGTTGGAATATATCTTCCTTGTTTTGCTTGAGACTGATTCGGGTTTCAAGACAGCCCTCATCTCACAGATCAGTCAGGAAGTTGAAATGCTGAGAAAAGTCCAGAGAGGCCCAAGCAGGTCAACAGGTAATTGCAAGGAAGACACTTGGCAGCACACTCAAATGGAATGGAAAGAAAAGCTCAGAAAGTCAGCTTACCCCTTCGACTAGAAGCACAAATGATATGACAGCTTATTATGCTTGTTCTTTCATTTGTGCTTCTCTCTTTTCTTTTTTTGCGCGCAAAGCCCCAACAGGCCATCTTGTGTGTATTTATTCTCTATGTGGTGGCGGCCCTCACCATTTCTTTCTTCTGGAACCATGCGTCCCACCAAGGTCGGACCATCTGAAGAGTAACAAGAGCACTGCGCACCTCTAATGCGGATCGAAATTGCATGCCTGGCGGTGCTTTTTGCAATGAGCCGGGAAATGTGAGAGGAAAGAAAGATGGTAGGAAAGTCTCGAAGCACGCCCATTTGGTTGAGGAAGATATGAAATGCTTCTAATCAGTATTTTTGTGATTGAGTCTGATCGCGGTTGCTGACTGGATTGGCGGGTCATCGTCATCAGGAACATGAAAATGACAGAAGACCAATCGGTGGCTGGACGGAGAAGGCTCTACTACGATGCAGAGGGGGATGAAACTATTCCGTGCAGTGATAGCGAGGAAGATGGTGCTGACATTGATGATGAAGACTGCGTGAAGAAGGACTTTGGGAAAACTGACGATTTTGTGATAATGTGAGTGTCTTTCAGATGACACTTTTCCCTGAAAGCAAGGAATGAAGAAAGTGGACCTCACTCAGATCACTGCTATTTTGCATGTGGCGCTACCTGTACAAGACTCATGGATGACGAGTGTGGGTTATTGCAAGGGCTTGGAGTATTTATGGAGCCAACTTTTTTTCCAGCTAAAGATTTCGTCTCAGTTGCACATACTAATAACGGTTATACTCTCCATCAGAGAAAGCTGACTAAACCAGCAGCTATGGGGGATTGCCTACAAACAAGCGTGGATGTTGGCCCCTTATTCTGAGACACGGATCAGAAGGCAGATGAGCGACTTCATATTTTTTTTCCACGTTCATCGAGTTTGTTTCAATTCATCCACTTAGTGGATGTAAAATGACACGAAAAGCACAGCAGAACTAAGCATACACAGTGTTGAGAGACTCAAATGATGATGCCGTCAGGACTGAGTTAAGTGACAGACTGTATGGTACAAAATTACTACGAATATGTAACTAAGCATACACAGTGTCGAGAGACTCAAATGATGATGCCATCCACGAGCAGTGAGGCTCAATGCAATGATGAGTTATGAATCCTGATGGCCTCAGATGGATATAAGGAGGTTATGGGGCTACCCCATGTAAAAAAGAAATGAAGTGTCTGAGATGTGGCTGCAAAACTGAGCAGAAATGCGAAAAGGCTCACAAGTTCTCACAACAAGCATCATTGTTGCCACTTTGCTGAAAGAACAAATGGGTAGACGGTATACATTGACGAAGGTCCCTCCTACTTTTGCCTATGAATAAGTGGCGATCAGCTAGAACAATATGCAGATGCAAGCGCCAACCATATGGCTGACATAGAGTTGGGTTACCCATGCATATGTCCTACTTCCTCCGGGCCACTTCACGGACAATTCATAGGCCCAGTGACATAATGCAGAAGGTCTCACAAGGTGCGTTACATTGCTCCTTACTATGGATTACAGGTTGTGTCCCATTCAGTTTGGCTTTTCTTTTTTCCTTCTTGTCTATACTCTTCTCTCAGTACCTCACACTACCTAGCAAGGGTTGGTTCCACAAGCTTCCATACTAGCCTTCTTTTTTATCCACTCTCCCCTTCTACGCTACTCTATGCAGGGAGTAGTACCTATGCTCCTAACCCCTAGCTACGGATGGCCGGATTTGCATGTAATCCTGGTCTTCCCAGCCAGGGGGGCAAGCCAACTATCTCAGCTGGTGAACCCAAAGGGCGCCTCGGGGGGTTGTGGGGAATCGAACGGATGACGTGCGGAATCGAACCCCCGACCTCCTGAATGCCACTTCTGTGCGCTACCAACTGAGCCAGGCCGCTTGTCCCTCAGTTTGGCTTGTGGATCAGGCACAGTATGTGGTGTGCTGCGCCGTGGAGGAGGTGAAACAGATGCGAAATGGGTCACAACAAGCATCATTGTCGCCACTTTGCTGAAAGAACAAATGGGTAGACAACATGGATAGATAAAGCTCACTCTTCCTACGTATGCCTATGAATTAGTGGGGATTAGCTAAAATGGGTACGCACATCAACTGTATGGCTGACATGGATTTGGGTACCCATGCGCATGTCCTACTTCCTCCGGGCCACTTCAACAACCTTCAAAAGAATTCATACCCCCAGTGGGATAATGGCAGAAGGTCCCACAAGGTGCGTCACATTGCTCACTACTATGGATAGCAGGCCGTGTCCCAATCAGGTTAGCTTGTTGATCGGGCGCATTGTGCGGTTGCCAGACTGCACCTTGGAGGAGGTCAAGCTCTGTCCTCTCCAGGAGACAATTTTGGCGACCGACCCGTGCCCCTCCCCCCCCCTCCCTTCCCCCTCCTCCCGCCCTCCTCTGCATCTAATCAAGCTATGGTATCTGCCTGTACAGAACAGACAGACTCTGTCCACGCTGGTTAGGTGCCACTCTACAGCAGTCTGCTGTGCAGGTGAGTATTCAGAACCTGATGGGGTGCGCTTTTTCTCTTTACGTTCCCTCACCCTGTCTGACTTCTGTGTCTCCTCCTTCCTTCTCCTTCCTTCTTCTCCCCACTTGTTCCTCGTGCAGAACTGTTAAACACATATGAATGATAATCGCATAGAGGAAAGGCAAAATATAGGTGCAAGTGTGCTTGCTGGAAGGACATATGTGTGCAGGCATCCACTGCACAACCATACAAACGTCACTCATCTTGCAGAAAAATTGCACCAGTGAAACGACTGTTTTGACAAAAACATTGCAATTGTTGTAATGTATCCACACTGTACGACATTTTCAGTTATGCTGAAATCTATTACAAATAGAATGACAGTCACAACGTGACTTTTCATGTGGTGGAATGATGTGATGCAGCATGAACGTGCATGTATCTGTGGCTAGCATGGAAACTGACAATTATCGAGCAGAGGGAGAGAGTGGGGGAGAAGCAGATGACAGCCACTGGTCTTCATACATGCAACATCCTGTACTTCCTGGCATAAATAGCTGGCCATGCCTCTGTTGCTTGGAGGTCTCTTGCCTCCAGAAGTGAACTGTGTGAATGCTGATGCACAGGTAACTTTTTCAGAGGGAAATTAGAAACGAAATGCATGCGATATGGGATTACAAATGGCTTGGGAAGAAGGATGGGCCCATTAGAAATGGGCTGATGGGTTGAGTTTATGCTCGCAAGGAAGTGGGCAGTGAGTTACACGTGTATTGCAAACAAGCAGACGTGTCTAACATTCATGGTATGGAACCTATGGTTTCATTGAAAACTGGCCCGATCAATCTTTCTCCAGGTCGCTGAGCGGCCAACTGCACAATGGTATGCAGTCAGCATCGGTGGTCGGCACCCAGTCTACCTTGGATTTCATCATTTCAGGTTATAATTTCTCAAAGGTGGAGGAGGTGGTTAAGTTGGTTTTCTTATATGGATCGAGCGTCATGTGCCTTGCTTATTGAAGTGAAAGCACTGATAGTCTGAACTCATTGGATGGGCTTTGCAGAAGGACGATCACTGACCATGGCTGTGGTCCTGAAGTTCTGGAGGAGTTGGCGAAAACCTTCGACGCGGATCCTGACGACATTGAGGTTTCTTCTGTCCTTTAACCTTCCCCTCTTGCCAAGAAGTCGTCCTGCTCATCCACAGTTGTTATATGTGGTGTCCCTCTTCTCCAGGATGTTTGGATGAACCAGGTGGTATTGTTCTTTGTTTCTCTGAGTGAATCGTGCTCTCCAGTCCATCTTGTTGATCCTTATGATGAATGGTGTCTGTTGCCTTTACTGTGATCGCCGTGGACACATTTTTTGAACTCAGACATATTACCATCATGCATATTGGCACTCAAGTTTGGACTGGAGCTTCTGTAGGAGACGACATTGCAATCACTTACGCTCTCCATTGGGCGCATGTATTTCTGCTAGGAGTCAGTCTATTGGGCATACCT